TTTTCCTAGGACACATTTTCATTTAGAGTTCAGGACTGTGCATATCTGATCTGAAGAAAATTCTATTTTCAAAGAGATTCTCAAGTAACAATGCAGATGCCCATTTGCAAATCATTAAGCAAGGACCATCATCTACCTTTGATGAAGCTGCAGCTGCAGCAGTGAACTATCTACATTAGGAAACTCCCTGTCCCATTAGGTCTGGGGTCAGGGTTAGAAATACAGTAGCAGGAAATGCTAAAATCAGTGAGCTCCTTCAAGAGGTTCATCCTTGGACTGCTAAATTGCCTACAGGGGTAATATATTGACATTTCCTATGGTTGCCAGTGTGACAAATGTGATTTTCTAACTGAATCTTGGTCCAACTTATAGAACAAAATTATATGGTAACACTGATATATCCAATTTGTCTAATCTGAATAGATTTTGCTAATATTTATTTGGTATATTTTTTTAAGCATACAGTTGTTTGAAGGGCTTCCCAAACTGCATAATGAAATTGGGATATGATATTGTATTAGCCTCTTCCAACTAGGTACCAATCCCTGGGCATTGCCATACTGTCCATAAATATTTATTTATTTATTTATTTATTAAGTGTGTTTGCCTCCCATCTTACCACGAGGGGTAACGTCCAAGACATCTGGGAGACAACTGGTTGGAAAAACTGTTTTATTTTTACTTTTTTAAAATCAGGGATTGGTAAAATTCACCAGCAGGTTACAGTGAGCTGAATGACATGGCTTAAATGGTTTTTCAGGAATAATAATAATAATAATAATAATAATAATAATAATAATAATAATAATAATAATAAAGTTGGAAGGGACCTTGGAGGTCATCAAGTCCAACCCCCTGCTCAGGCAGGAAACCCTATAACATTTCAGACAAATGCTGTTTTAAAACTGTAACTGACCAAGAGTGAAAAGGAAGCTAAGACAAAAATATCCTTTCAAGTCTTATATTAATGTGTTCTGTACAGTATGCCTAAATTCACTATTCTCCCTTCTTTTTTTTCATGCCTGGCCAAAAAGAAATGTTACTAATAGTAGCAATCATTCTTCTTGTAGCCTTACATGCTCTTAGGCTTTTTACTCAGCAAACAACAACTATTTGTTTAAACGAGGCTTCCACTTCCATGCCTGCTGGATATTTATAGATTTGAGTAGGTCAGCACACTCAATGAAATATATTGACCAAATACAGATGACATCTCTAGCAAAAAGAAGTCTTCCGAAAGGAAAATATCACAACCAAGCAAACACTGTTCTGGAGATGGTATTGAAGTGTGAAGTTAGCATTTGTTCATCAACCACTTGTTTCTAACCTTACCAATGATAGATGAAAGCTGTTCCAAGAAGCACAAATGATTCGGAAAGTGTGTAGAGCCAGAAAGCACTTAAAGGATTAGCCAGACTTTACACAACACCTGTAGCTCTGGGCATAAGGAAGCTACTCATGCAGACAGAACACATTTACACTGACATTTTTGTTGGCCTGTGCACTGCACGGCTTCCAGTTGAAATGGGTGTGCTGGTCTGAATAGCAATTAGAACACAACACACTAAATGTTGACTATGACTGTGGAGCCCTTCCTTCATTGAATTTCCCTCAGGAACTCTCTGCTGCTTTTCACCTCCGTGCAGATGATATTAACTGGAGACAAACATCTGGGGATCTGAATCTAGCCAATGAAAAGGTTCCTAAAAGAACAGGGGGAGGAAGTAAAACAAACACAAACATCCAATCTTTGCACATAGCTTTTCTTTCTCATCTTGACTGTACTTCCATGACCCCCTTGAAATGTAAGTAACTCATAGGTTTTTCTCCAAGAAACAAAACAAACAAACAAAAACATAGTAAGTCTGAATATGGTAAATTTTAGAACCTTAGGTGAAGTGAGTCCTTGAGTTCTATGGGTTTAATTGTTAGTTTGTTTGTGTGAGTAAGGCTTGAGCCAATTATTTATTTTCTTATACAGATCATAAATGAAAACTATAGGTAGGCAGGAAATAATTGCAACTATATGAAAAGTGTAATTGAGGCCTGGAGGGGAAAGAGAACCAATAGAATAATTTGGATATTTATATTTTAAATCCTGTTCTATCCTAAGGGTCACAAAAGCTTATACATTAGCCTTTAAAAAGTTATTTTGGATGTTTCCAAGTTGGTGTTGGCTCCTGGCAATTGCCTGGACTAATCCCTGCAGTTTTCTTGGCAGGTTTGTCCTTGCCTGCTTCCCAGAGATGAGGGAGAGTGACTGGCCCAAGATCACCCAGCTGGCTTTCATACCTAAGGCTGGTGCCTTAACCACTAGACCAAACTGGCTCTTTTTAAAACTAATTAAGGCCATTGTTTCTTTTTATCATGTTAAAACGGGATGGGGAAGAAGGAGAGAAAGAGACAGAAAAGAAATGATCTTATACCTAATAGATAGATCACCCTTTATTATTTTCAGTGTAATTGATAAAGTGATACAGACACATGTTGGGCACACACGTTGATGCTGCCAAGTATTTTGTTCAATTTTTATGTTTTTGTTAAATTTGTTTGCTGCCCATCTCGTCACAAGGCGACTCTTTTTACCCCTTTAATGGGAAAGCAAGGCTGCAATCTTAGCAAATATAATTGGGAGTCACCCCAATTATAGATAGATAGAGATAGATAAATAAATAAATAGGTGAGATAGATGATATCTAGATGAGATAGATGATGATAGATAGATAGATAGATAGATAGATAGATANAGAGAGAGAGAGAGAGAGAGAGAGAGAGAGGAAGAGAGAGAGAGAGGGAGGAATGATAAGAGAGGAAGAGAGAGAATCCTGTTGAACTAGAGCAAACTTACCAGTGACGAACAGAATGGAGTTCATGGCTGAGGAGGTTCCAAGTAGACTGAGCAAAGCAAATTACCCGTTGCCTCTTAATCCTTTCTGAAGTCTCCTTTTAAACACGAGGAGTCATTTCAGTACCACGCTCCGTCGGACAGCGCTCCGCTCGCAGCAAACGCTTGCGATTGGTCCAATCAGAGTCGGCGGGACACCCGCCCTCCCACCCGCTCGCTTTCCCACCTCCCGGCTCTGCGTTTTCTGGAGAGCTAGCACAGCCCCTCTCTCTCTCTTTCACACCTGTCGGAGAGGTCCAGGCTACGGTACAGCTAACTGCTGATCAAATATGTTTGCTGAATAACGATCTACTCTTTCATTAAAGCCAGGAAAAATAACCAATTCGCGTTTGGCCTGATTCCTGAATTACCTTCTATGCCTGAATTTCATAGTAATTCATCAACACAGTGTTCACATAACACACGAACACATTGCATACGGTTAAATAAAACTGAACCCCATTTTCTGGGTTCAAACGGCACACTGATCCATACGCTAATCGCCTGGATTGGACTTGCACACCATGCTAACCCAAAATTGTAGTCCAGTTGACTGAAATTTAGTGAGGCATGGAACTAAGCTTAAGCTTCATGCTCCTGAAGGAAAACTAACTTTGTTCTGATTATTAAAAGAGAATTAGATCTTCTCTGGGGTGAAAGCAGGCACCCTTGGGGCTCTGTTGCAAAAGTCCAAGGGAATAATTTATCCCTGAAACAAATGTGAAATTTGTTGCATTGTGTATTGTGCTGCCAGGCTGATAAACATAGGGGGAAAAATCTATAAATGTGAGAGGAAAGGCACATATACAGGTAAGCATTAATCTACAACAGCAGAGGAGCAACAGCTCTCTCGACTTTATTTGTCAGTGATTCTCAAAATCCTAAATCAGCAGGAAAAGATCAGGGCCACTGAAAGTTGCCATGGTCCAAAATCTGGAGAAGGTGAGCTGGGAAGGACAGAAATACTTATAAAGCTGTAGGAAATGTGAAATGTGAAGGAAAGCAAGGCATTCAAATTCAGTTCAGTGCAATAGTGTTTTAGTGTTAGTTTTTATTGAATTGTTATTGTATTGAATTGTTATTGTATTGAATTGTTATTGTATTGAATTGTTATTGTATAAATCGAGTGGAAGTGAAAGAAACGAAGTCTGGGCAGCAGGTCAAAAGTTCCACATACTGTACTTATTATAATTGCTAGTGTTTGGGTAATGGGTGAGATAGATGTCTAAATATGTTTAATCTATTAGTGTGTCAAGGTCTTTGAAGGTGATCTCTTTCTCTCTCTTTCTCCATCCCGCCCCCGCCCCCCCGGGAAAGCTTTTGGCTCTCTGGCCTTATGTTCATCAAAAATTAAAAAAGAAATATTAACATACAGTATTAGGCAATTAGAATAATTATTTATTTAGACAGCATTCTGAGCAAATAGAAGCTAAAGCATGCAAGGTGTCTGGACTGGATATTCATTTCCAACTGCAATTTTAAAGAGACATTTCTGACTTTTCAGTTGTCTGGGCCAGCCTGCCAAAAGGCTATTGGTTCTTCTGCTCTGAGTGAGCCTCTTTCCAGAGTAAGGTGAATGATTCTTAGAAGTAGCATTTTCTGTGCTTATTATTTCCAGCAAATTCATCTATTTGGATTACACAAGCTTCCAGACATGAAGAATAAGTTCACCATTAACCAAAAGGACATCAGACCGTACTTAAAATGTTGTATAAAATGAGAAAGGAAGAAATGTCCTAACCTTTTTTAATTGTTTGCATTGCAAGCGAAAATTGGAAAGAAAGATAAGGGATTTAGGTCTTGATCGTCTTGTCTGTCAGTTTAACTCTCTGAGAACAGAATGGAATGGGACCCAACTTGCTGGGGTATAAGAAATATCAAAGAATAGGATAGCACACACACTTGCCCACACACACACACACACACACACACACACACACACACACAAAATACATTCATTACACAGGGAAAATAGACTCTTCCTGTGGCCACAGATAAAAGCATTAAAAGTCACGCCACATGCTTTCTCTACCATTTCATTGTATTATTATTTCATAATAATTTTATTGTTTGACTCCTTCTGACTAACTAGTTGTCATTTTAATCTTATAATGAAATATTCTTTGGATAGGGACCAAGCCCATCAGCAGATCATCCCAATGAAAATGGGTGCATATATGTTTCCCAACTATCATTTCTTACAGTTGAATAGTATATGCTAGGAAAAATCACATACATTTCCAAACAAAGATCTGTTTTCTTTTTTTAAAAAAAAAATCATCCAATTTTGTATATTAGCCTAGTTTATCTTTGTCATAATCTGTTATTTCACTTTTGCGGTTTTCCAAGTATTTTGGTCCCTGTTTTAGATAACTGGAGTCACAGATCAAATGACAACGATTTATCACAGAAAGTAGCCATCTATCAGCTCCCAACAAATCCAGGGCCCTTTGTGGGCAGTGAGACTACACCAGTCAAGGCAACATGTTCTGAGAGCTTTGCAGCTTGATCAGAATTGCTGGTTTGGGTCGTCAAGGACTTCCGACTGTCCATGCTTGTCCTTCCTCTGGGTGAAGCATTTTGGTGATCGCCAATACCAAAGCAGCAGCAAGAAAAAGCAGCTTTAAATTCTTCCCGAAATTTTCCTGCCGAATCAAAGACCAAGACCATCATGAAGAAGCAGCCAGACCACATCCTTCCAAATTAACAACAGTTCCTGCATTTGTTTCTTTTCCATTCAAAGCGCCTGATGTGATTTGCATAATCCAGAGAAGGCAATGAGATGGCAGCTTTGCAGCAGGTGATGTAATGGGATATGGGAATGGCCTTGAGGGGGAGGCAGGGCAGGGAAGAAGAGATGCTGCCTAAGGAACAGTCAGAGAAGAGGGAGCATAGCAGAAAAGCTGCACAATGGGTGGAGAAAGAGGCTCAGAAGGGACTCCCTCATGGGATATCAGGCTGTAAAAGAAATGGTGGGAGATTTATACTTTCAGACTTGCAAGATTCTGTTAATGTAGCCTTACCATAAGGAAGAATCAGCTCATCTGGTCGTGTTTCCTATCAGTCTACCTGGGAAGGTTGACAGTTTTTCTAAGATGATTTTTATATGCAATTATGATCCTGATTCTGATTTTGAGTTCCTGTGTGCAGAACTGGTGAAGCATGTAGCAAAATCGTCTTTTTAAACTGAGATTAGGGCTTGAATATCAGTGCTGTCTTAAAGATGCAAATATGAATAGAATGGAATGGAATAATAGAATAGAATAGAATAGAATAGAATAGAATAGAATAGAATAGAATAGAATAGAATAGAATAGAATAGAATAGAATCATGCTTGGTACACAATGGGAGGTACAGAAGCTTTTATTATCAGATTGCATTTATTTTCCTGTTTTTCTTCGAAGCACAGCATGGTTTTTATGAATATATCCCCAAAGTGATCTAGCTTGATTTGAGTTAGTGAAAGACTATTTTAAAAAAAATCACCCCATGAGCTCTGTGATTGTGGAGGGATTCAAACTGGAGTCTCCACAATTTAAATCCAGGACTATTATGGGACTCTTAGCAAGGGATTGCAAGGGGGTGAGGGACTGTTTTGCAGAGGAGGATGTTGGCAAAGGCTAATTCCTTCTTTTTAGTTCAAGCACTAAGGAATTCAAAAAGATATATAAAAAAGTTCTTGAACTCGATCATAAGTTAAAAAGTTAACGAGGAATGAAATTACTATCTCCTATATATCAAGGAGAACACACCTCATATTATAATTTTTTATTGTTTTAATTGTTCTATACTTTTGGAATTACGAGCCACCCAGAGTCACCAATTTAGATGGATGGCTATAGAAATCAAATGAATTCAAATCAAATCAAAGCAATCCATCAATAATATTAGGTAGATCTCCTGATGTCTTGAAATTTGTCCATTGTTTGTTTTGTTTGTGATTGCAATTAATGGAAAACTGACCTAAAAGTAAAAATTTGTTTGATATTGAAATGATATGTATACATATTTAAACTAAGTATACTCAAACAGTTGATCTGTTTATTGGATTGCTTGAATGATGCATTTTCTTTAAATCTGTTCCTTCCTCTATACTACAGCAGTATCTTTCTCTTTTAGAATACTATAAATACAGCAAAGTAAATACATTGCATTAGTTCTTTATCTCTGTTGTTTTTCTACCAGGATGATGATGATGATGATGATGATGATGATGATGATGATGATGATAATAATAATAATAATAATAATAATAATAATAATAATAATAATAATAATAATAATAATAATAATAATAATAATAATAATAATAATATCATCTACTTACCACTAAGAAAGTTGTAAATAATTGGGTTTACTGCACTATTTGCGTATACAAGCCAATGGGAGAAAGTAAACAAAGCATACACCGTTTCTCGATCTTCAGCGTTGTTAAACATCCCAAAAACTCTTTATAAGAGGGGGGGGAAACGTTAGAAGTAGAAAACATCTCATATCATATTTCTGATATTGATAAACATGTAAAATATTTGCATGGTATATAGATCAAAATTCTGAATTCCAGATGTGTGTAGTGATGTCATAACTATAGCACCATGAAGTTGTAAAGGGTGTTCTCCATATGTATCACCTCTCATATACAATTGTCACATTGATGGGATGTGCCTTGACACAACTAAGATCCACACATGCCAAGAACCAGATGCATTTTATTTATTTATCTAATTTATCTAATTGCCCATCTCTCCTAGCAACACAGCTAACACAATCAATAAATACTTAAATGTATTGTCATCATTAATTATTAAAAATGTTCAAAACTATGAAAAATGTTACAAAAGCAACACACGAACAAAGAAATAGCAGTCAAAGGGATACTGATAGTAACAGTACCACTTCACTGATTCACCCATCTTAGTTGAATGAGGAACTGTATACATGCCTAAATTCTCCAACAGGTAAACATATAGATTCTAGACAAACACTATAATCAACTTCTAAATATACAGACATGACTGGATTTATGCTGCCCACTGACTCCTAATCGGTATTTTTGTGAATATCTGAGTGGGGACTACTCATACCTTTTTTCATAATTGTAAAAATATGGCTTTCGCAAGCCAGCCTGACCTTTAAAATTATGTACAGGCCTTTTTCCATAATTCTCTGCCATCAGAGGTACGACATTTATCTACAAAAAAGAGGATTTTCTGCAGAAATCAGTGAATGCCAATAAGACAGGGTGCTCTGAACTGAGAATTATTTCAGTGTCCCTTGTACAGTCCTCTTTCATAACAATAAGTATTATAACTTATTATAACAACTTATTGCCAGATTGTGTACATTCCAAATCTACAAATGAGACTGGCCAGCCATTTGTCTGGAATGGGCACGGGGATTGGACTAGAAGACCTCCAAGATCCCTTCCAACATTATTCTATGTTCTAAATGTAAACCAGAAACATTTTTTTCATCAGTGCATCCCATTATAAAGCCACTATCCCATTCAGTAGAGATATGGCATTTAATATGCATACTTTCCTAACCTGCAATTTGATTTGATTTTTTGTGGACAGTATTGAGTCTTGAATTTAGGTCATCAATCTTGATGAAAAACAGTAACATTCCTGGGAAGGGTTAGCATTAACTCTACAATGGTAGCCCAATCCTAATCCAAACCGTAATCTGGAAGAACTGAAAGCCTTAAGATGCCAATATTCTCCAACTTAGTGCCCTCCAGATGTGTTGGGCCTCAACTCCCATCAGTCCTACCCAGACTGCTGACAGGAGATGAAGGAGATGAATTCTGACATATCTGGAGGACTATAAGAAAAATGATTTACATTCCTTGTTGGCCTTGATGCCTGTAGAAATGATCTACTGGCCAACTTCTGCTGACCAGCTCTGGCCAAGAGGGACTTCTTTAGGAATAGTGCTAATAATATTCAGCAGTATGAGATCTTCTTGCTTATATTGTCCTCAGAGTTTGGCTCCTCACTGGAACAATAACATTTTTTTCCTTGTATAGCAATACTTTCTATTTGCCCATGCGTCTTCAACTGAGTCCGTAGTTGACTTCCCTCTGGTGTCAATAGGTGTCTCCTGCAGCTTTTTGATGGCTCTTTCCTACATTGCTTCCAATGTTATCTCTTTCAGAACACGTTTATAACGTTTAGAAACACATTTTTATTATTAACGTGTTTTAAGCTTTAAAGCCAGTCTGTTAATGAAAAAGCATAGAGGGAGATAGGAGGACAAATATTCCTTGAAATGACCTGTAATGAACATGTATGCAAGTAAATCCTATTAGCATCCAGGAAAAATTTATCCCTACCCCAATGCTTGTGTGGGAAAGAAAATTACGGATAGTCTTCAACTTACATCCATTCAGTTAATGTCCATTCAAAGTTACAATGGGGATGAAAAAAGTGACTTCTGCTGGTCCTTGCACTTACAACCAGCACAGTGTCCCCAGAATCACATGATCAAAATTGAGTGCTTAACAACTGGCAAGTATTTATAATGGTGGCAGCATCTTGACATCACCTGATCTCCACTTGGGACCCTCCCAGCTTCTGACAAGCAAAGTCAATGGGAGAAGACAGATTTGTTTAACGATTGCATGACTTGTTTAAGGATTACACAATTTGCTTAACAATAGCAGCAAGGTGTGTTGGTTATGTTGGCCGCTTTGAGTTATTTGCATAAATAATAAGGACTGGATAAAAAAATAAATAATATTACTAATAAAAAGGATTGAAAAACTGGATGTGACTCACTTAACCACTGCCTCACTTAGCAGTGGAAGTTCCAATCCCAATTGTGGTCATAAATCAAGGACTCCTTGTAAACATAGTGGGCTCTCAATAAAAATCGCCACCCAATTATTGTTGAATATATTTTCCCAGCCCAGGCAGACACCCAAGCTATTTATTTTTAATATCTCCAAATCTGGCACGTGGAAGTACCTTTTCAAGATGTTGAGAATGCTAATGGGGAGATAGCAGAGGGCAAAAACCAAGAGCACCACCATCAGCATCCGGGCTGTTTTCCTCCTGGTTTTAATCTGTTTGATTTCGGCTGCCACCACGCTAATCCTCAAATGTGCTGGTGGGCCCAGTTCCCGCGTCTGTGCTGTGGATTGCAGCGGCCTCCATTTCCTCTGAACCATGGATGACGTTCCTGGAATCTAACAGCACATAATAATCGGAATCTTAATGATTGCCATTTGGCCCAAGGGAAATTTTGCACTGATTACTCAGCGAAGGTTACAAAGTAGATCCATTTCCACTCATGAGCATAGCTACATGATCACAGAGACGTTTTGGTGTGATCATCTTCCAGTGATGAAAATGGAAGATAATTTTGTTTTAAATCTAAACCCTTTTTGTTACGATAAGTCTGTTTCCACAATAGTCGTAAAGTATATTATAGGGTAACGTTTATTATAGGGTAAAGTTGTAAAGTTTGTTATAGGATGTGAATGGAATTAAATGCCAGTTTAAACCTTAAATGGAGATGTCCTTCTCGATACCTAAATTGTCCCCTTCGTATTTTTTTTCTAACGAGAAGATATATCCTTTCTATCTTATTGAAGTCTAAATTTTAGAACCCAACTAGTCTATACGAACAGGAGAGAGATCTTTAACCGACTACTATTAATGTTACCCTTTTAACTAGTAATAATAAGGTACACGATGAGGGCTAGTAATAGGGTCAAACATTGGACTGAAACTTTAATCTTTCTTCTTTTTATTATTTTTATTTATTTTTTCTTTGTTTCTCTCTGTCATGATACATCACATTTGTAAAATACTTGATGTACTGTATGAATGGGTCAAAAATAAAAGTAAAGAAGATAGTATTTGGGGGGAATCTATTCTAAACAAGCCAAAAAATCTCCACTCTATTCCAAAGACATATAGCATGTATTAAAAAATGTGAAAATCATTTTACATTTATCCATTAGAAACAGAAGGTTGGCAAATATAAGGATTACCTGTTACAGTGGTTCTTCAGTACTCCATGTTAATTGGTTCCAGGAGTTGTGATGAATATCAAATAATTTTTTCCCATAAGGAATAACATAGTGAGTAACAAAACAGCTGACATCATCAAGTTCTAGCTTGTGCATTGAGTACTAAGCAAATGATAGGTACTGGGACAAACGTTTTGTATCAAATGTGTCGAGTACCAAATTTGATGCGTTTCCAAGCAGTTGAGTACCAAGGAACCACTGTAACTGATTTTCTTCATGTGCTCTAGCCCCATGGATTGGGGGAACACATAATGGTTGTTAATGTTTCTAACAGATAAACATGATATATCTGCTATCTCAATGTCACAGCGTTTATTAGAATAACTAATGGTAAATATGTTTTTAGTGCTAGGCTGCATTAACAGAGGGATAGAATCAAGATCACGTGAAGTGTTAATACCACTTTACAATGCCTTGGTAAGGCCACACTTGGAATACTGCATCCAGTTTTGGTCACCGCGATGTAAAAAAGATGTTGAGACTTTAGAAAGAGTACAGAGAAGAGCAACAAAGATGATTAGGGGACTGGGGGCTAAAGCATATAAGGAACGGCTGCTGGAATTGGGTATGTCTAGTTTAATGAAGAGAAGAACGAGGGGGGACATGATAGCAGTGTTCCAATATCTCAGGGGCTGCCACAAAGAAGAGGGAGTCAAGCTATTTTCCAAAGCGCCTGGAGGCAGGACAAGAAGCAACGGGTGGAAACTAATCAAGGAGAGAAGCAATCTAGAACAGTGGTTCTCAACCTTTCTAATGCCGCGACCCCATAATACAGTTCCCCATGTTGTGGTGACCCCCAACCACTTATACATCGCCGGGTGCCAGGGGCGTGGCCAAGTGGGTGTGGCCACCAAGTGGGTGTGGCCACCAAGTGGGCGTGGCCCCCCAACCATAAAATTATTTTCGTTGCTACTTCATAACTGTAATTTNCAAATTTGGAATTTACCTCTACAGGAAGAGCTATGGATTTAACAGGGGAAGCATAAAAAAAAGATTGCTCTTCTATATAGGAAAGATAGAATAACTTCAGATTTAAAATCTTGGGTTGATCAGATATGCTTGTCCTCTCTCTAGAAATTGGCTGATGATAATTACAATGGGAAAATTGATCATTATTATTCCATGTGCTCGAGGGCTAGTAATAGGGTCAAACATTGGACTGAAACTTTAATCTTTCTTCTTTTTATTATTTTTATTTATTTTTTTCTTTGTTTCTCTCTGTCATGATACATCACGTTTGTAAAATACTTGATGTACTGTATGAATCGGTCAAAAATAAAAGTAAAGAAGATAGTATTTGGGGGGAATCTATTCTAAACAAGCCAAAAAATCTCCACTCTATTCCGAAGACATATAGCATGTATTAAAAAATGTGAAAATCATTTTACATTTATGCATTAGAAACAGAAGGTTGGCAAATATAAGGATTACCTGTTAAATACAGTGGTTCTTCAGTACTCCATGTTAATTGGTTCCAGGAGTTGTGATGAATATTAAATATTTTTTTCCCATAAGGAATAACATAGTGAGTAACAAAACAGCTGACATCATCAAGTTCTAGCTTGTGCATTGAGTACTAAGCAAATGATAGGTACTGGGACAAACGTTTTGTATCAAATGTGTCGAGTACCAAATTTGACGTGTTTCCAAGCAGTTGAGTACCAAGGAACCACTGTAACTGATTTTCTTCATGTGCTCTAGCCCCATGGATTGGGGGAACACATAATGGTTGTTAATGTTTCTAACAGATAAACATGATATATCTGCTATCTCAATGTCACAGCGTTTATTAGAATAACTAATGGTAAATATGTTTTTAGTGCTAGGATGCATTAACAGAGGGATAGAATCAAGATCACGTGAAGTGTTAATACCACTTTACAATGCCTTGGTAAGGCCACACTTGGAATACTGCATCCAGTTTTGGTCACCGCGATGTAAAAAAGATGTTGAGACTTTAGAAAGAGTACAGAGAAGAGCAACAAAGATGATTAGGGGACTGGAGGCTAAAGCATAT